AACTCCTTTCCTCCGATTTCCAGACCCGGGCCCCCTGCCTCCTCCCTCCCACCCCCTCAACCCCTGCTTCCTGAACCCTGCCTCCCACCTCCAGCCTCCTTACATCCTCGAACCCAACGCTTCTCTCCTGCCCAGCCTCAGCGGGCGTGACTGGGCGGGGAAGGAGGGGGGGAGAGGGAGAAAATAAGCCAAGTTATGCAGGTGTCGCCGCCACCCAAACCTGTCCCCCACGCCCACGGCCTCCTCCTTGCCCCCCCCCCCTCCTCTGTCGACTCAGCTCGTGTCTGTCTAATCTTGGTTCGCTTTTGGGATCTTCAACGGCGTTCGCTTCCCCTCTCTCTTCGCTCTCCGTCGCTCTTTCTCTCTTCGTCGTATCTCTTTCTAAGTCTAATTAGAAGAAAAGACGAGGAAGACGAAGGGGAAGAAGTGGAAGAGGAAAAGGAAGAAGAAGAGGGGAATAATAATAACAATAATAATAATAATAATAACAATAATAATAATAATAATAATAATCAATAATAATAAACAATAATAATAAATAATAACAACAAAGACTAACCACATCACTAAAAAACAAATCAACAAAAATAAAATAAAAACAGAAAGACGAACGAGAAGAAAAAGAAAAAAAGGAACAAAAAAAGAAAACGAAGAAGACGAAAAAGAAATCAAAGAAAGAAAGAAAAGAGAACAAAGCAAGAGAGAAAAAGGCAAAGAAAGAAAGAAAGGCGGAATAATCCCTCTTAGCCAACTCTTTAATGCGGCATCGAGATAAGCCAAGGCCATTGAGATAAGAACTTCCGGAGTCGCTGATAAGGGGCGCCATTCCTTCCCTCCAGCGCCGCCGCCGACAGGGAGCGGGGGGAGGGTGGTGAGGGCGGGGGCGGGGGGGGTGATGAAGGGGTGGAGAAGGGGTGATGATGGCAGTTAATTGGTGGTGCTGGTAATGTTGGTGATGATGGTTGGTGGTGGCAGTAGTCGTGTTGGTGATAATGGTTGTTGTTAATGACTTGTGTTGATGGTGATGGTGTTGATGATGATGGTTGGCAATGGTGGTAATGGTGGTGAATAGTGGTGGGTGTTAATAAAAAGTGGCATTGGTGGTTGTGACGATGATGATGATGATGACGATGATGATGATGATGATGATGATGATGATGATGATGACGATGATGATGCTTATGATGTCGATAATGTTATTATTGCCACAGATGCATTTAGCTCACCAAATCCAAATCCAACCAACTGCACTGTGCTCCAATTTCCTGAACCTGTGGCACTACCTTGGCACCGGCAGCTGAGCCTCCTAGACAGGAAGGAAGAGCGTTGAGTTGCACAAGCAGCTTTCATTAAAGAGAGGAGCCGGGACGCGGAGGAACATACGGAAATACTTATACAACGAACGTGTACAATGCACTTACACACACAAGCTATACGTATATCACTGTATCAAATGGAGCCTCGTGGTTATTCTGCTTATTTTACGGATTTACTCTATTTTCTAATACAAAATTTTCCTTCAATTTTGTTTTCCCAAACTGACCCTTCTTCCCTCTAGCCTCTCCTATCCTTTCCAATTCATCCTTCTGCTTTTAATTGTCTAAGAAGAAAGGAAAAAAGGTGATGTTGTTATTGTATTGATTGATGATGATGATGATGATGATGATGAATGATGATGATGATGATGATGATGATGATGATGATGATGAATGATGATGATGATGTGATGTTGATGGTGATGGTGATGAATGATGATGATGATGGTGGTGGAGTGATGCTACTGTAGTTGGCAATAATCGTATTGGTAATGGCATAGGCGGTAGTGTTGGCAGAGGTACTGTTATAGATGTTGAGGATGAAGTGGGTGGTGGAGGCCAAGGTCAACGCCCCCCCCCCTCCCCTTCTTCATCACGACAAACAAGTTAACAACCCCCACCCACCTCCTCCCACCACCCCACCTCCCTCCCACCCTTCCCTTCCACCACACACCCTACCACCAACCCGTGGCCCCAACCCCTTCCCTTTACCCTCCCCCCCCTCCCGACATGACAGTTGCCCGTGGCGGTGACGTGACGCTGTTACGGGTGACGGCTCATGACAAGACTGACAGCTCGAGAGGCCACGGAGCGCTGTCACGGGGCGCTGTCACGGTCGAGCACGCGAAAGGGCGGCTTGCTTGCGGCGGAGGAGACGGACACGCAAGTTCTGGAATCACTATGGCGATTGGAGAGAAGCGAGCGGGGGGGGGGGGGGGGGAGAAAGCACATGTACACGTACACATATATAAACAAACATCCACGTACGTACATGAGTGAGTGAGTGAGTGAGTGAGTTTGTGTGTGTGTGTGAGAGAGAGAGAGAGAGAAGAGAGAGAGAGAGAGAGAGAGAGAGAGAGAGAGAGAGAGAGAGAGAGAGAGAGAGAGAGAGAGAGAGAGAGAGAGAGAGAGTGAGACAGAGACAGAGACAGAGACAGACAGACAGACAGAGAGAGAGGCAGAGGCCAACAGAGGAAGAAGCACCCCTCTACCCTCCCCCCTCCCCCTCCAAGACCGAGAGTACGCGCCTCAACGACCTGTAACACGAGCCTCTCTCCCTCTCTCCCTCTATTCCCCCTATCCTCCCTCTATCCTCGGTCAAGACTCACGACACGCCCTTGGCTCTTAGCCTCATATTCCTCACACGAAGACTCAGTCACACGCCCGCCCACCACGGACTACACGACCACTTGCGTGCGTGTGTGCGTGCGTGCGTGTGCGTGTGTGTGTGCGTGCTTGCGTGTGTGTGTGCGTGCTTGCGTGCGTGTGTGCGTGCTTGCGTGTGACTGAGTGAGTAAGTGCGTGAATACAAGAGCGAGTACGTTCGCGAGTGAGTGCGTGAGTGTGCCTATCAGTCTCCATGTAAGTGAATGCGGCGACACTTTCCCATCTCTAAAAAAGCCCCGCCCCTTCCAACCCCCCCCCCCCTTTGGACCTCGAGCAAAACCAGCAAGCGTGAAAAAACACAGTTAAAAGAGGTACGAAAAAAATCTAATAAACACTTAAACAATAAAACAATAAAAGAACTTAAAAAAAATAAAAAGTACGGACACAAAATCGATATATAGACATCAAATGGACCGACACCGAGGCGACATCATCAGAACAAACGCAACGAATAAAGCAACAACAGAAAACAAAAGAAAGGACGCAAATCAAACTAAAAACGCGGGAATAAGAGAAGAGAAAGAGAGAGAGAGAAAAAAAACAATCTAATGAAAAAAAAGAAAATAACGACCAAATCTAAAAAGAACAAAAACAAACAGAGAAATAGAGACATGCAAGACAGAAGGAAAAGCGAGGAGTGTATCAACAAAAACAACAACAACAAAAACACGAGAGACGAGTCCTCTCCGTCTGCCTTGCATCCATTAACAAGCAAAACATCGCAATCGTACCTTATCTCCCTCCTCTCTTCCCCTTCTCTTCGTATCCTTTTTTTTCTCATCCTCACATCCTTACTTGTATCCTTTCTGTCTTTCTCTTCTTTTTCTATTTTTCTTCTTTTCTTCCTTTTTTTCCCTTCTTTTGTTTCTTTTTTCATATCCTCCTCCTCCTCCTTCTCCTTCTTCTTCTTCTTCTTCTTCTTCTTCTTCTTCTTCTTCTTCTTCTTCTTCTTCTTCTTCTTCTTCTTCTTCTTCTCCTCCTCCTTCTCTCCTCCTCCTTCATCCTCATTCCTCCTCTCTGCTCCTTTTCCTTCTCGTCCTCCACCTCCACCTCTCCTCTCTCCCTCCTCCTCTCCCTCTCTCTCCTCTCCTCTCTCCTCCTCCTCCCTCTCCTCCTCCTCTTCCTCCTCTCTCCTCCTCTTCCTCCTCCTCCTCCTCTTCCTCCTCCTCCTCCTCCTCCTCCTTCCTCTTCCTCTCCTCCTCCCCTCCTCCTCCTCCCCTCCTCCTCCCCCTCCCTCTCCTCCTCCTCTCCTCCTCCTCCTCCTCCTCCTCCTCCTCCTCCTCCCTCCTCCTCCTCCTCCTCCTCCTCCTCCTCCCTCCTCCCTCCTCCCTCCTCCCTCCTCCCTCCTCCCTCCTCCTCCTCCTCCTCCTCCTCCTCCTCCCTCCTCCCTCCTCCCTCCTCCTCCTCCTCCCCTTCCCCATGCCTTTGTGAATTATCCTCTTCACTATCGACCTCGACGCTCTCCATCACCACCACCTCCACCGTCTTCCATGGCGCCATCACCTCCACATCACCTTGGCGTATCGCATATCATCACCACCATCGCCAGTCTTCGTAAATGACGCGATTCTCCTTCAGCATCGTCATCACAATCGTTATCGCAAATCTTCATTATCTTTGTCAGTATTATCATCTTGAATATCACCATCATTATCATTATCGCCATCATTATCGTCATCTTCATCACCATCATCATCAAACAAAACCACATCATCATTAGTTAACAATCTAAGTCTTAAACTCTTCAAAAATCCAACACTTACGTAAGAACTAAATAAGACTGACGCAAAAAACTACAACGAAAGTCACATCAACAACGGCGACAACAACAGCAAGAACAACCAGCCAGAGACAAGAAAGTAACAAACAACATAATCATACGCACTTACCCCGCGCATTACAGTCACATGAGCATTTGTTTACGCCACTATATGACAAAAAGAAGAAGAAGAAGAAGAAGAAGAAGAAGAAGAAGAAGAAGAAGAACGAAAAGAAGAAGAAGAGAAGAAGAAGAAGAAGAAGAAGAAGAAGAAGAAGAAGAAGAAGAAGAAGAAGAAGAGAAAAGAAAGAAGAAGAGAAGAAGAAGGAGAAGAAGAAGAAGAAGAAGAAGGAAGAAGAAAAGAAGAAGGGAAGAAGGAAGAAGAAGAAGAGAAGACAATACGAAGAAGAAAATACAGAAAACAAGACAACGACAGTGGAAGAAGAAGAACAAAAAAAGACGAAAAACAAAACTCGAGAAGACAAGAATATCACTTTTCGTGGCCACACTTGACGCCAGCAGCAGCGCCCTTGATCGCT